AAGACACAGTGTTCTCAAGACAGATCTAGAAGTCATCAGGGCTAATTTGAGGAGGGCTCAGTCTTCAGAACAATCCTGCAGTCCTGACAGAAATCTAAAATCTCCAAAAACTCCTACCCTTTAATCTTACCCCAGAAGAAACTGAGCTATGAAAATTACATGTGTGATTATGAAAGATAAAGTTGAGTAAGAAGAGTTGAGAAACCTGGAAGACAGCTCTCACCCTAACTCTATATGACGCATGATCTCAGTAGACCAATAATTCACCTTTTTTATACATCTGTAAATAAATGGAATGTTTTTAAGAATATAATTATGTCAGATTTAGCATTTTCTTTTATATATTAAATATATATCTTTCCTTTTCTGCTTTTGAAAGTGACTATTTTTTTAGAAACAAGAACAGAAGTTGTTTGGTGATTGAAATAAATCAGGTATACTAATTAAAGCAGGACTTACTGTTGGGAGGTTTTTGCCAAATTGGAGTAGAGAATTCTAATGCCCTGAGACATTTGAGAGAAGGTGCCTTTAAAGTTTTATCATAGGAATTCCTTTCCATTCTCAGTTTCTGACATTCCAGTTGGGAGAGCTTTTTAGTATTCTAGTCCTTGTGGCATGTCTTACCAAAGAGGCTTCAAAATTGTGTACAGCTTGGCATGTTTTTGTGTTAGAAGTCATTCTAGGGCCAGAGATTTTGCTCAGTGGTGCCGTGGCTGTCTCCCAAGTGCAAGGTCCTGAGTTCGATCCCCCGAACTGGAAAAAGTCATTCTACATAAAAAGCTAGACTTGTGGTACCACAGTGTACAAGGCAGTTAATCTGTTATCTTGGGGAATTACAGGACATGAACAATCATTTTGGGGGGAGGCACTGGAGATTAAACTCTATAGACTTTGTGCTTTTGAGACAGGTGGTGGCACCACTGAGCTAAATCCCTGGCCCCCAGCACTCTTGTGGCTAAGGATAGTAAGTGTTCTTAAGGCTAGTTTCATAATTTACAGTTCTACATGTTTTATTAAAGGAGACCTTTTGACATTGAGTTACAGCTAATCCAAGATTACTAACAAATCAAGTTCAGTTATATAAGCTTCATGTTGTTCATTTGTATACTTTTATAGTAAATGCAGGTTTTTTCCTCCGAATTATGGCTGAAATCCCTGGTATGAGGCCTTTCTGTAACAGGTTTGAAAATATTTTGAACACAGGAGAAAGGCAGACTATATATTATTTTTGTTGAGGTATGGTAATACAGCTTTTTATGTCTATAACTGGTTGACATACAGTACTTGGAATGGGCCAAGGTGAATTGAGAGGTAAATATAACAGTAGAAAGATTTAGAAAATATTGATAGCTCTTGTCTATCCCAGAATTTAAAAAACAAAAGGTCTCACATAGGCAGCACATCTTCATATTTTTATGGAGAATGACTGATAATTAAGAAATGATAGGGCCGGGGATTTAGCTCAGTGGTGCTGCTGCCTGCCTCACAAGTACAAAGTCAAGAGTTCGATCACTGGTACAAAAATTTTTTTTTTCCTGTGCAGAATCATTAGTTTTGAATAGTCCTATAAGGGCATTGAGAGTCATGGCATTATATTGTTGGTTTTAAAAATTTTATGTGGACATGAATTCATTAAAAAAAACTGAGGTAGGCCTATCGTCAATTGAAAAAATCAATTAAAATGTGTATTTGAAATAAAGGAAAATAATTTGATATATACAACCTTTAAGACGAGACATAACTGTAGCATGTTAAATAGGACAGAATTGCTGTACAAGGTACATAAGTTTAATAGTGATGGAGCTATTTGTGGAGGATGGGATGCTAAACCATGGAAGATGAGTTGCAAATTTTGAGACAAAATTAAATTCTATCATTGTAAAACCCTGCTAATAGAAGAGATTTTTGTTAACTAGAAAAGCAGCCTTGGAAGCATTGTCTTGAGATTTATCCTGTTTCCAACTGCGGTCATTGGCTCAGCTGTCTTACAGTGCCTTGCATGTAAAGGTGCTCAATAAATATTTGAATTGATGAGCAAATGTTTAATCTGGCCTGTTAGTTTTCTAGGATCTTGTAATTGCCCCTTATTTGCCTAAGGCGATTTAAGAAATTTGATCCAAGCTGGATACTGTGGCACAGGCCTGTAATTTCAGTTACTCAGGTGACTGAGGCAGGAGGATTACAAGTTTGAGACCAGCGTGGCCTACTCACTGAGACCCTATCTCAAAATTTTAGAGTGTAAATTATTATTTTGGGGGTGGTACGAGGGATCGAACTCAGAACCTTGAGCCTGCAAGGCAGGCACAGTTCCACTGAGCTAGATCTCCAGCCCTCAGAATTTTAAAAAAGGAAAGGGCTGGAAATGTAGCTCAGTGATGAGTGCCCCTAGGTTTGATCCCTAGTTTGGGGGGGGGCATAATACTAAACAAGACAATTGCATAATGTCTTCTCAACTATGATTTCAGGGTCCAGTAAACACCATATGCACAAGCTTAGCACATATGCAGCAGAATAAAAAAGTTATATGGAGAATGAAACACATGAGTGGGGTAGCAAATATTGGAAGAAGTGGGCAACACTTGGCCCTGGACCTGAGGGTTTTCTGAGGAATTCGTGAGGCGTGGAACAGCCTATACTAGTGGTGGTGAACCTGTGGCACATGTGCCACAGCAGGCTGAATTACTGAAAGTTCTAACTAAAAAGGTCACCATATTGGCATCTCACAGGCAGTGTGACAAGGTTGGCCTAGATTGGTGAGAATTTAAAATGTCCTTTTGACCTTGGGCTGGAAGTGTCCAGATTCCAGACTTAAATCTCATTATACTGTCCTCCACTTTTTGATTGTTGGCAAGGAAAGCAGTTTAGATTTGCCAGTGTAGCTTCAGCTTCAAGATTAATTTGGGGAACTTTTTTTTTCGTACCGGGGATCAGACTTGGGTCCTTGTGCTTGCGAGGCAGGCAGCGAAACCACTGAGCTAAATTTCCTCCCCTGGGGAACATTTTTTATAAGGGCTAAATTAGCTTTGGAGAAATGACTAGTAACACTTCGTAAATCTGTCCATGAGTGGTTAGGTAAGAAGACCATCAGCTCACACAAAAATTACTACAGAAGGTTAGGGACTACTGTGGGCACAGCTATATTTCATGGGTGGAGATAACAGTTGCTGGGGTCTGTAGCACACAATGACACCAGGTGGCACCATTTATTAGCACTTGGTTTCTGTGAAGAGTCATCACACAAAAGGTTAAAGGAATCACCTGCTTCTAGGATTATGGCTAATGGCTCTTGTGTCCTTTCTCCATATTTGGGAAATTTGAAGCCATTTTTGCCCTTGGTAGCTGTTGTCCTCTGGTGTTCCAGGATGTGACATCCTTGATGTCCATGTCAACCTGTGAGCTTTATTAGACTTGTTTTTAATATATTATTGCAGTACACACAATGCTGTTTTATCATTTGGCTGTACACTGTCTGCCCACAGCCATGAGTTGAGGGACTTTCTCTCATGAACATCATCTGAGGGATCAAAAAGGTTTGGATAGAGTGAGACAGCATCAATATACTGTTCCTCTTGAAGCCCAAGTGGTTTTTGGTTTCTGGTTTTAGGCAGGGTTTCCATTTTTTAGTTCAGGTGTACCTTGGACTTACTGGTCCAGGCTGGCCTCCAACTCGGTGATCCTCCTGCCTCTGCCTACCGAGTGCTGGGATTATAGCAATGTGCCACCATGCCTGGGCTCGAAGCCCAAGTCTTTTCCCTTAGACTAACCTTTCCATAATGTAATTTAAAAAGTATTATCCAGGTGAATAATTCTAGAGCTATTTAGCTTATGTACGTGTGAGATACATAGTGCTTTATTTCCATATATTTCCCCCACCCCTATGAGCTAGAAAAACAACCACTGAATCCAGATCCAGCAAGCTTGGTTGTGACCTGGGCAAGTATCAATCATAATTCAAAAGTCCAGGGAAAACTTCTATAGTAACTGAACTTAGTTTAACCCCACACAAAGTAGGATTTAGGCAACAAAACAACAACAAAAAAAGAAAACCAAATACAGTATATATCCCATAGGCGCGTTCACCTGTTTTTCCTTTTTGCGATCTTAAAGCTCTGTTCCAGGCTTCGGTCTCCCCTTTCATAAAAACCCAATGAAGTTACCCGGTTCAAAACACCGTTGTTAGTATTTTGAATTGGATTACGCAGAAGAATCCTTTCCATGTGGGTCAACGCGCTAGGCCGGTCGTGATCAGAAACTACTGCTACGCTTTTAATTCCAGCGTTTAGGGTGGATAGGAGCAGAGCTTTGGCTGTATCTCAACCCTGTAATTCTGAGGTAGTAGTTAAAACTACGGTCCTTCGGGCCTATCAAATGCCAACCTTAACACTTCTGGAGGCGTGGCTATCATTTTGGGGCTCTGGGAAGTGCAGTTCTCCTGGGGGCCAGGCCTGAAAATACCATAAAAGGTCTGGTTCTCTCAATTCTGGAGCTGCCTGATCTTCCTCTCATAGCGGTACCCACAATTATACCGTGCGCAATCTGTAGCTCTGGCGTCCTAAATCTTCAGTGTCCTAAACACTTTCATTGGCTCCGCCTTCGTAAACTTTGCTTGTCCAATCGGGAAACATCTCCTGGCTGAAGACCGCACCTCTACATAGGCTCCGCCTTCCCAGTCCGAAGCTTCGCTCAGGCTCTAGTTCGCGTTTTGAGCCGCTCGTGCCACCATAGCTGCTCTCGCTGCTGCCGCTGCCGCTGC